CTGGGGAGGATGCTGGAGGAGGCCACAGAGCCACGGCTGATGGTGCTGGGGCGGGTAAGGCTCCACCAAGCCTCAGATGGGCGACTGGATCCTGTGGCCGGACCCAGGGGCAGAAGGGCAGCCTGAGCGCGGGTGTTCTTGTGGAGGGCCACCACAGGAGCAGGGCCCCAGGCTGCCTCCCTGCACGTGATGGTGCTGCAGAAGGCAACAAAGCCGTGTTGAAGTCTGCAAGGCTGTGTAGGTCTTTGCTTCTTCTCTACTCTCCCTAGAGCACTTCTCAGTTTATTTATATTTCTCAACCTTCCTTGAATCTCTTTCATTTCCTTCCCCCTTAATTATACATCACTGTGTTACACGTTTTTAGGTAGAAGTACGTGGATATTTTTAATGACATCAAGTCTTTTAAAATTGCATTCACGGAAGAGAATACAGCCCATACACCCATACTGTGCCACTGGTAACACGGTGCTGTCTTTCTCACGGTCAGCCGTGCTTCCCAAACTCCCCTTCCCCCCACCCAAGTACTTTCACTCACCTCTTTTCAGACCACTAAGCAACCACTGTCAATCACCCTTCACGCCCCATCCCACCACTTTCGCTCTCAGTCATTTGCCCACTGCCGTGACTCTGTCAGGATGCACCTCACCAAACCTTTGCAGACACCCACCCCTTCTTACTCACCTCCCGAGCCCTTTCGTGTGGGCAGGGATATTCAACAGTAACTCAGCTAGAGCTGTCGGTACTGTGGTAAATGCAGAAAATTCAAAGCGAGAGAGAGAGGAGATAACTGAGTGATACGGGCACTAGGAGGGAAATTCCTTAGTCAGAAGCTTTAGCAGGTGTGACTGTCTTGGAGGGATCGAGGAGTGCAGGAAAACTCATCTGCTTGAAGCACTTCTGCAATGCAACAACTACACCCAGAGGCGGGTCCCCTTAGGTTCAGCAAATACAACGATCGAGAGAGAGAGAGAAAAACTCTTGCAGGAGGTGATTCAGAGAAGAAGCCGCTTCATGTGGCTAACCCCGAGCTGCCCTCTGGAGAAACCTCCCTCTGTTGAGTGTATACGGAAAGTCCTTGCCTCTTGCCTACAGACCCCAGTGAGAATGCCTCGTTTAATCTCGGTATCTAAGTGCATCATCTGTGGATGGTGGTAATGAAGTGCTTGACTGGGCCATGTGGAGGAGTGTTCCTGGAAGGTGAGCGCTACAGCAGCTGTGGAGGATCGCCCGCAGCGGGAAATTACGGGTGGTTCTGCATGTGCACAGAGCTGGGAAGTCCCCCACAAAGGGGTTGTCCATGCCCGATCACATCAAGGATAGATACTCCTTCCTCTGTTAACTCTTGTAGAAAACGTCGTGGTATTTCCCTTTGGGAACTGTGTATCATGGCAAGTCAACTTTAGCTGTGTTTATCTTCAGTGGTTTTATATTCCTGCATTAGTTTGCTGTAGCAGAAGAAAGGCTGCCACTGGCATTTGCATATCTCCTCAGTCTTTAAGTGGAAAATGATAACAAGAAGAAATTTCTCAACGGCTCCTCAGCCTGACCATTGCTTATCTGTTCTTTCAGCTTACTGTTGAATGAAATACCATTTCAAGCTAAGGGAGGCACTATCTGACAGAACAATAGATATCTCTCCACACCTGCCAAGTTAAAGAGTAACTGGAAGGTACCATATTCAGATCGATTATCTTACATAAGTTATGCAGAGTCCAAACATACTTTTCTCTGTAAATAAATCTATGTAAGGCTAAACATTTGAGATATACCTATAGGCGTATCTGTATCTTGCACATATGTATATTTTATATATATTTTTATATACATCAATACATGTGTATGTATCTGTAATTCTGAATGGTTTGAACAACTAAGTGATAAATCAAGACCCATGTAAAGAAACTAAATCTACTATTCCATTACTGTTTTCCCAACTAATGACTGTCCTCTGAAATAGTCTGGTTCATTAGTGGAATCCACCATTGAGTGGTTGCAGATGCAATATATTCATCTTAGGCATTGTAAAGGCTGAGTGCTAGAGCCTGCACGTCCCTTAAGCACCTGTTCCAGCCACAGCCTTGAGGTCAGCACAGAGTTCCCCTGTTTTCATTTGACTTCGGGCAGGTCCTCAATGTGCTGAACTGAACTTTCCCACCGTTCAAAGAAGAGCCCCCCATCTGTGAAAAGCACCCTGGAGCTAAGCTCCTGGTGTTACCAGGGGTATGAGGGTAGCATCTGCACAGAGACCAGGCAGATCCTGGAAGAGAAGAACGGTCTAGACTGTGTGCTGAGGGTTTCAATTACGAGGTTCACTTAACCCAAAAAGCCTGCTTCTGCAGAAGGCCACAGATATTTCATTACTCTTCCTTGGGTCTTCCTATCTTTATAGACATCACAGAGACACTGTGCATAATATGGGTTTATTTGAGCTTTCTGCTCGAGACTGTGACCTGACCCCCGACCACTGAGGAGCCGATCTCATCTGAGCTAGCAGATGCCTGTGTGAGATCTTGCAGTTCTTGTCCTTCACAAATACTTCTTAGCCCTGTCTGTTGCCAATTAAATATCCCTATTGTGAAGCAAAGAATGATAGCAGCATGTTCTATGTCCACATGTTCCCTAGACTGATAAAATGCTCTGTATATATTAAGAATATAAGTGAGCTCAGTCCATTCACAAAACACAATAAGTGCACAATTCAATTAACTAATGCAATTCATATTTCATTAGGACAGAAGCTGTTTGTGACCTTAAACGGACAACAATTTCCTGACAGCATTGCAGAATTTTAATTAGATAGGAAAATAACAAAGACAAATGAAACAGAGGGAAAACACGCTGCCTGGCAGAATTGTTCCAAAGAACTTAAAAACAAAAGATGCAGTTGTTCTGCTAAGTCCTTCACCTCCTTCCCCCTTACTAATGATGCAGACAACAAAACATTATTGCCTTTCTTTGCCTCTGATTAACCATTTGTAGAGAAGACTATCTCAGCATTTGTGGTATGTACCTTGTATGGTACTGAAAAGCACTGAAAAGAGGAATGTGAGTGAAGAGCAGCTCCCCTAGGAAGAATCATGGTTATATCAGTTTTTCAAATTTGTTTCAAAGGCCCAGATATTGGGCCCTAAAATCAATTGTGATGGAAAGTGGTAAACCAGCAACAACAACAGATATGATTAGTAAAATTGTTAGTATGATTAGTACAAAATAGCACACCAAATCACAGTACATAGAGGACTGTGATTAAAGTAGAGAAGGATTCCAGTGTTAAGCTGTGATTGCTATATTTCTTTTTGTGATACTCTTAAGAAAATGAGAAGAGATAAATAAGGTTAGTTATTACAGTCCTCTAGTAATTTAATCCTTAATCCAAAGTATTACCGTGTATGCTGACCTCTGTGTGAGAAAAATGGCTCCCTACAGCCTGTAGTTTTATTATTTTACTATATATTGCAAACCTGTGTCTTGTATTACAGAAACATAAAAGGAGAAGATCCTTTGTTTTTTTAAATAGTACATTTAAAGAGACAAGAGAGGGATGAAACTACCAGATCAGAGTTAGCGGTCTGCAAAACATACTCCCTCCCCCTTGCCCCTCTCCCAGACGACGACTTTTGTTTTGAAGATAAAATCAGTAAATAAAATTTGTACAAAGCTGGCCAGATTTTGTATTAAAGGCAAGATGCTGTATAGGAAGCAATTGGATGTGTAGCAAGATATGTCTGTTTAATCAGGATATTTGTTGATCTGGGTCAGTAACAGGATGGTTATTTGTCCCTGGCCAGTGGGTGGCAATGGCAGCAAATGGCTTATAGTAGACAAGGATTGATTTTGATAAACATGTCCAGATGGGTATGATTTAAATCAGTAAATATATAGCTTTGTATAAAGAGATATTTTAAAATTAATTTTAAACCAATGTTTACATCTACATACACACTCTATTTGAACCAGGAGAATAATCAGTAAAGAAAAAGGAAAATAGCTTTGCCTTCTCTGATCCTAACACCTCTGAGGTTTTTCTTCCTTATGTTAGACTACATCAAAGCCCTGCTGCCTGTATATTAATATTATTTAGTAGTGCTTTTCTGAAATTTACGGTGAGCTGAAGCTAATTTTACTGGAACAGATGAAGTTACTTTATTGGCAGTATTTTCAAATAACTTTTTAATGTAATGAAAGCATCAAAACAGTACAGCTGCTAAATGAGAGAGACCATAATAAGGGAGTTTCCAGAACTCACTGATATTAGCTGCTCACCCATACATTCCCTTCCTCTCAAGTTTCAAGATGAGATTATTATAAAAAAAGGCTGATTTGTCAAAAAAAAAAAAAAAAAAAAAGAAACTGTCTGAACAAATCTGCAAATAAACCAACTTGGGGGAATTCCCATGTCTGTGTCTGACCTCCATGATCAAAATAAGGCATTCTCAACCCGATCAAAGATTCTGCTATTTTTTTTTAGTACTTAACTCTTCACCCGATCGGGTGTCTGACCGTCACGGCCCATGCTTCAGGAAAGCTGAGCTTTTAACTGCGGCCGGCCCAGCCTGTGCCAGACCCCTCTCGGGCCAGAGGGGTGGCTGCTGGGGGCGAGCAGCGCTGCGGGCACCAGGACGGTGGCCACCACTGGCCCCAGCCCAGCCTCTCGCCTGGCCCCCGAGAACCGCGCTGAGTCCCCGCACCACGGAGGAGCTGGGCCCAGCCTATTTATTTGTAATGAGAACCGTTGCGCAGCCAAATGGCTCTGTACGGCTTCCTTTTTATTTTTTTTTTCCTGTTAAGTTTTTGGCTTGGCTGATGGAGGACAGGGAGGAAATGCATCCCAGCAAAATTGCCTCTCTTCGGACTTGTGGGGGGCCTTGTTCCAGTCTGTTTGCTGGCCTTGGGCTGACCACGTTAAGAGATGTGCTGTCATTATTGTTTTTTTTTTTTTTTCCTTTTCTACACTTAAGCTTACAAATTTGATGCCAGAATTTTTTTTCTTTCTCTTGCAGTACTGCAAAACTGGAGTCACCCCACAGCTGTGCTGGGATCTGCTCTGCACCGCCTGTGATGCCACTGACGGCTTTTAGATAGAAGGAAGCTGAGGCTAAAGAGCAGAGAATATTTTTTGCCCCACATTGTTCTCAGAGACTATTTCTGGCACACAGGAAGGACTCGCAAAATCACCATCAAACTTATTTTAGCTAATTCCATAGATGACTTGAAGTATTCCAGAGGTGTGTGTTAAGCCTCAGAGAACTGACGGCAAATTTTGTTCCCTGGTTAGACACAGAAATAAAAGTATGACAATCTAGGGGCTGCCTGGAAGTACTTTCTTATAAACAGCTGGGAAAACAGCCTTCAAACGATACATGAGAATATTAACGGGAGTGGGTCCAAATATTGTATTCTAAAATGAACACTTTGATAATCATAACAATGTGGTTTGAAAAGCATCACTTTAAAAGGTCAGCTATACCACCCTCTGACTGCACATTGAAAGCATAGCGGATATATTGAGTCATACATATTGTTCATTGTCATTTGCATTTGGTGAAATCCCTGCATTTTACCCAATTTAGTAAGCAAGCACCGCCTCGGGCTCCCTTGGCAATACTCACCTCTAAACACAGCTACTGTTTGTTGGGCTAAAACAACATCTTGCACCAGTAAATCACACTTCGGTCTTTTGATCACTGTTTATCTTTTCAAGCCTGTGAGTAGTTTTGCATTGATGGAAAGAGAAGGAGGGGCACACTAGAGCAATGCGGGTATTTTGAGCTTCACTTCTGGGATACTTTTGTCCATGTTGTTCTGAACAAAATGACCATCTGTATCAGTTTGCAGACAGCCACGAGTGCATCACAAAATCTAACTTCATATTTGTGTGGATAAAGACTGGCTCAATTCTGCGAACAACGTGTAGCATCATTTGACAACGTGCTATGAAAAGGCCTTACTGAAGTCAAGTACACTTTCTGAATTCCAGCCTTTTTTTAAAACTCTCCTCAGGATTTGACCTCATGGCCATTTCCTACCTATCCACGGTAGGAACTGTTTGACTTTCCAATAGTCATGTGAGTGATATTTCCAACCAGAATATGGCGGAAGCTGTCCTCACCCTTCCGGGGGCTACACCTGAAGAGTAAGCAAATTTTGTGGGTGTTTAAGCCTTTTTTTATTTTCTATGAGCAATGTAAAAATGACTCATTTGTGCTTTGGAATGTATAGTTGGTAAACACCAGCAGGGAGCAATTGTATTTCTAGACTTGTAAATAAAAACAGTCCGTACTGTGCCGGCTCTTCGGTCCTGTTACTGATGTGAGTTTTTGATGGGAAGGGGCTCAGCCCACGCAGCCAGGCAGGTCTGGCAGCTACAGCCACCAGCGGCTGGTGGGGGAACCAAGAGCTATCCAGCAACAGGGAGACTGGGAGGAGATGAAGGAAAGGAACAGACACCCCTTTCCCATCATAGCATTGATAGAGGCTTTCAAACCACTTTTGAAAAGAAAAAAAAAAACAAAAACAAAAAACAAAACAAACAAAAACAAAACAAAACAAAACAAAAACAAACAAAAAAACCCCCACCTCACAGAGATGTATGGATATGAAAAGCAACATGGAGTCTAATCCAAAGACTACTGAAGGCAAATGAAGACTCCAGTCATGGACATTCTGGCTTGAGCTCTGCACAGAGGATAGTCAAAACACACGTACCTGCCACACACATGCTATTTTAAAACTGGTCGGTTTGCTGACTGAAGGAGAATTTAGACTAAATCATGTAAAAGCACATATATACCATGCAGAAACTGCTCAGGAGGAGTCACCTCAAAGTGCATTTATAAAACCTAATGCTTTTATAGTGCCCTGGAAATCATAATGTTGTTTGTAAGGATTCAACGAGTACTGTCCATCCAAGAAGGTAGGCAAGTCATATGCCTCCTCCCTGATATGGACAGAAAGACCAGTGCTCAGAGGATTTAATTTAGACCCCTAACCCAGGCTGCATAAGCAATTCAGATGAAAAAATTGGGATGGGCACCTGCTGACTTGCTCCCTCCCTCCATTAGCCACAATAAGGAGTTCATGGGAGTACTACTGGGGCAAAACACTGAGTGTCGTCTGTGGATCCTTCCAGTTTTCCTGCTCTTGTTGGACTGGGGCAGCTGGGCTGCCATGCACATCTCTCTGATCCCCACAGCTGTTTCCTCATTGACTCCCCAGTCCCCTCTGAGGCCGCAGCTCTGCATTGCTCCCCCACTGCTGGGCCACGCAAAGTTTCTTTGAGATTCAGCACATCCCTCCAGCAACGCCTGTTCAGAGTTACCCGCTGATGAGTAATAGTGTGTAAAAGTCAATTACATTCATATTCATAGTGGCCTGCTACTTAAAATGTTAACAATGGGGAAACTTGCCCTACAGGGATGATGATGGGGACAAACCTTTATTAGCCCCACATGGGCTTTTTATCTGTTTTAAAAGTTACATTGTCCCAGGGAAAGAAGTGCCATTGTTAACAGCGTTGGAGGCACTCAGCTGCACTCAATTTAAAATTAAAAGGGGAAGAAAAAATAAATGAAAAAATGAAAAAAAAAAAAAAAAGGGTCTGCCTGACACACTGCAGTATGGCAGGCTATGGTAACTTGCCCCAGAAACTTTTTATTGAATCCAGCCCTTCAGTACAAAAGAATTTGTTAACTGCTTCATGATGTAAAGTCTGGTAAAGACATTACGCTCACTGGCCAGCACGAGGCTGTTCCCATACACCGTAAGTGTTGCCTTCGCTGATCAGCATTGAATCCAAGGTTGCATCTACGAGTCAGTATTATCAAGTCATGAGCACAAATGGTGCATCCCTGGTTCTGACTCCAGCCCACACCACATCCCTGCCCACCATAACGCTGCTAAAGTTGGGACTGGCAGAGCTCAGCCCAGGCGAAGGCACAGGCACAGGCTGGGAGTGTTAAGTGCAAAGTTGGTGTTTAAAATCAGCTGGTGTTGGGGCTCTTGTAGGCTGAGCTTCCTCCCCCTTCTGCATAAAGACTACTGGTGGTGCGAGAGACCCCTTCTCCTGCCTCCCCCAGCGCGTCGCCTGTGCCTCACACAGTGCACGGATGGCACAGAAACCACTGTGCCGACTGCATGCACCAGCCTGATCCCACGTGGCTGAGTACACCTACTCGTGGGGCAGTTCAGGATCCACTCCAATAAAGCTATCCCAGCGTAAAAACTAGCAGAACCAGATGTCTTCTGCACAAAAAATAATACAACATGAATGTAATCTCTCTGTTACTGGGGAAACCTCACCTTTGAAAATGTTCTTTTATTTGTCCTAAAAAGGCTGGGGCAAGAGAAGCCAGTGTGACTCTGGAAACTGCTAGTATCTTCACATCGATTTAAGATTTCCATTCACTATCATACATTTTCCAGTTTGCACTTTACTGACGCATGCAGTGCTGAAAGAGATGCACTAGTGGATGTTTATTATATTTATCGACCAGGTGGCCCTAACTGCCCGAATTACACTCGCTGCCTTCTATTCATCACGCCGACGTAATGAACAGAGGGGCTGGTGGATGTCAAACAACCAGCCAGGAGAAACAAAAGAGAAGCCAGGCACGGTGTCACCCAGCTTGAATCAGCCCACCAGTACCTTTCACGTGGCCGTATCCATTCAGCTCCCCTGCAATCCCAGTGTGAATGAGCCAGAGCCACTGCCGAGCAAACAGATAAGAGTCTGGAGGAACTGATCAATATATTTAGATAAGGTGTAACAAGAATACGTAGCAACCTGGCTCTTTGTCCGTGCTTGGTAAAGAGGAGAAGAAAATAAAAATCCCTGTATTGGCTGCTTCAGGCTGAATTCTTCTCTTTGACACTATGGTTAATCGACACCACTGTAACCATGGAGTTCAGGATAACGCGGTGGCTTTATTAAGAAACTCAAGCACAGAAATACAGTCGGAAAGTCCTAGGTCTCCTCGGCAAATTAATCCTTTGAACTCAGCTCAGCCACCTGCACCTTCATGTACACTATTTTTACAGAGAAGATGTTGGAAGTTTAAAAATAATTCAAAATGTTAGTCATGCTTGAAATGGCCAAATGAAGATTAGAGAAAAGCTGCAAAAAAAACCCCAACAGCTTAACTGAACATGAGGTGACATTAGAGGGTATGTAAATATTTATATGTAATTTTATAGCAGTATGCTATATACTGTACTTTTTTTGCTCACACACTGATTCCAGTGCTCACTAATTGGAATGTCTTCAACTCTGAAAAGGACCTTTATGGAATTGAGAAAACTAAAATTAGGACAGAATCAAATACGAATTAGCTTTTGAGACAAGAACCACTTACGTGAGCAAGGCTGTATTCAATTGCCTTTGCTGTTTTCTTGCAGAGAAGCAGCTGAGCAGTTTTAAATAATGGAAGAAAAGAGTCTGTTTATAGAACAAACTGGAAATGAGACTCTACCTGCAGAGGCTGAGTACACGGACCAAGTCTTCCTCTGGCTTCACTTAAGTTTTAGTTTATTACGAAGCTAAAGAAGGCATATTTAATATTTTTCTTCCCTAAAATATATATATATATACACATAGATATACGCAGGACAGAAAGAGTAAGTATGTCTATATAAAAATCTCCTATCTTTAGCTGAAAATGTTTCTGCTGTGTCAAATTAAGAATACAGTACAAAACCAAAATCTAGAGTATTTTGAGACCTGTTTAGTTTTCAGGGGATTTTTTCCTTATAGATAAAATTAAGACTATGAGCTTACCTGTGCCTTGTGTAGGAATCTCTTACCCTTCTTTGACTATACATTTGTAAGGCGAAGTGTTTAGCATAGGAAAGTCACCAATTATACACTATAAAAAAGGCTGTTGCTAATAAAGTTTTACAGAAAAAATCATCAAATGGCTTATGGGGATAAAACCAAAACCCATTAACATCACCTAGCATCTGTGTTTGCCCAAATGTGTTTGTTGTAAGCACACACTGTATTACCCACCAGAAAAAAAAACCTCAACCAAGCTGCGTCCCAACACTGAAGTGCAAGGCATGTGGACAGGTGCCTCCCTCTACTTGGTTCCTTTAAAAACAATTTCTCCTCAGTTTACTTAGGTACTTTATTAATAGCCTGGCCCAAACTTTCAGCTGTGGTTTTAGCTTCAATTTTCACCCACTGAGTCCGGTAGATTTCAGGTGTTGTTTTGGCCTGAGAGGTGCTGATGTCCATCCCTTAGGAAGGCTTACCACTTGGCAGCTGGCAACGCCGAACCCTTCAACACCAACAGCACACAGGCAGGCCCACAAAGTGAGTCATACCTTTAGCTGTCATTTTTGGCATGCCAGGCCCAAATTTAGGCAACCCCTCTCAGTCACTGCAAGTATTGATACCCTAATTTGGCACCAGTAATGTCTTCCTAGGTCTCTAGATGTTGGCTGCCTATCTGGCTTTTCTCCGGCTTGATCTGGTATGCAGCTATACAGATCACTGTCAGGATCAGGCCTTACAAAAAGAGGACTTCTATTACCCTCGTGCTACTACTCCCCTTTCTGGGAGAATCAAGATTTGTTCGCTCCCTTGTTCACTACAAGGACTACAAGATGACCTACAAGACCACTCTATAAGAGAGTATCCCTTTTTAAGCGTGTGCGTCCCCTATTGAAGCTTTTCCATTTTGTTTTAAGTATTTAAAATTCGTCACTAGAAGAGGATGAATCCCGCATCTTATGCCCGGGCCAGCACCAGGCTGCAGAATCAGTCTGCAATGGTGTATAACACAATTATTGCAGGCAAAGTGAAACAGCATCAAGAGATAACATAGATGAGGGCTTGCTACATAACTCAGGGCCATGGAAGATTCCTCAGGGATAACCACTGCAGCCCTCAGCAAGTTCTTTATGAAGACCAACCCAGTGCATGTTGAGCTTATGCTTCCAGATTGCAGGATGCAATATTCACAGTAATTATAACCCTAGTATTTGGACTCGTATCAAAAAGAAGCAGCTCATGGCCAAGTGCAGTTATAAATACCACTTACATTTTAGTAAAGCCTAATCCAACAGATAGATCCCTACAATCCAGAAAATGCTGAGCTACAATGTTCCTGATTTGCTTTCTAGAGCCAGGGATGCTGTAATACCCATGACCTTAAACTGCAATCACACACTTTTTCCCTCTGAACATTTGCTTTAAAGAATCCTAAATTAACCGCAGAAATAATAATGATACACACTGTCTTGTGATGACCTAGGACAGGCACATCATCACCTGTCCAAGCGTAA